ATTGCGTCAAGCTGAATTTTAGTGGTTTTGTTTGTGTGTTAAACTAAATAACAACTGCAAAAATTCAAAACATGGCGAGTAAAAAATATGTGTCAGCGGTCAGCGGTCAGCGTACCAAGATGGCGGGTCTTTTAAATGCTCCGAGAAATCGAGTATAAATCTGCCATTTCCTACTTAGTTAAGATCTTGATGTTTATCGTTTTTTGTATTGCCTATTATATTTTGTTTAATATGAGTTCTACAACTGAAATTGTTGCCAAACTGGAAGAATTGTCTCGTAAATTAGAAAAAATCAATACACTGGAAGCTTCACTTGAACATCTCAGTGCTAAGTATGATGAAGTTGTAATGACTGCCGATTCTCTTAAAAAAGAGGTTCAYYATCTAAAAGTAGAGAACAGCAGCCTCAAAGCGCAAGTATTTGCCTGTCAAGAAAAGGCAACACAAAATGAAATTGACATCAATGAGTTGGAACAGTATTCTAGGCGGGATTGTCTAGAAATACGAGGTATACCACAGAGTCGCGATGAAGATACAGATGAGATCGCGAAGAAAGTCGGAGAKCTCATTGACRTGGACTTGGAATACGATGACATCTCAACAAGTCATAGGCTCTCAGAAGGACCTCAGACAAGAAGCGATGGAGTTCAAGTAAAGAGAATACCAGCAATAATTGTTAAATTCACGAAGAGATCGGCTCGTGATGAATTCTACCAAGCGCGAAAGAGACTTAAGGGGAAATCAACTAATGATATCGGACTCACAAGACAGCCAAACCAACCTATATTCATTTCCGAAAGCCTCACAAAGAAAAATAAGGTCTTATTTAATACCTGCTTAAAGGCGAAGAAGGAATTTGGCTTCAGATTCATATGGACAAACTACGGTAAGATCTGCATGAGAAAGAACTCTGACAGTCCAGTCATTACTATCAAGAACTATGGCGATCTTATCAAACATAAACTGGCAATAAGCTAAGTATATTCACTGAATTGAATAATCTAATCTCAAATTTACCCTCTCTGGGTGTTAGCAGTACTCAAAATATTGATTTTACTAGTAACTTTGACCCTGATTCAAACATTCCATGTAACACAAACTTTAAGTACTACTCAATATGTGAGTTTAATTCTGATAACAATATTTCGTCCTGCTCTTCGAATRATTATTTATCTACATTTCATTGTAACATCCGAAGTCTTAATGCCAATTTTGATCATTTTTCGTATTTAATCCATCAGTTATCTCATAATTTCTCTGTGATCGGCTTATCTGAAACCAAGTTAAAACTGAACCATGATCCAATCATCAACGCTAATTTACCAGGATATAAATTTATTTCTCAACCATCTATGTCTAATGCCGGTGGTGTGGGTTTTTATGTAAATTGCAGTTTGATGTTTAGCGTACGACAAGATCTCTCAACGATAACTCCGGATTTTGAGTCGCTTTGGATCGAATTCCAATAAGTGAATCAAAACACCGGAGAAAAATCGACATCA